GCATTAGAAGCTGAAGCTACTTGGTGTTTGGAATTTTTAATTAATAAAGATAAATTTCATATGTCCTTGGCTGATTTTGATTCGCATTATTAATAATTTTTTAAATGTGTTCGGAAAATTGATTCGCATAATTATAAAAAACTAAGATTTGCATTAATATGATTTGCCATTTAATTTGGCGGTCACATACTATAGAGTTTTCCCGGTCCTACACCTACTTTAAAAACATTGTTACACAGTTGTAAACGGTTTGTAAAAAAGGGGTGCTATCTTTCGGATGTTAAATTTTGTAAATTATTTCTAATTGTGTAGTGAATTAGATTCGTGAGGCAATTACGTGCTGTAATTACGTATACACACCTACATGTAAATATTAAAAAAAATGTAGTTTAGATTGGTTGTTTTTATGGTTATATAATATAAATATATATCCATTTGTTTTTTAAATATTTATTAAAAGTTTTTAAAATGTCTGAAAACATCGATCAATTCCGTCTTTTAACAAACACTTCTTTTGAAGAAGCACGAGATTATTTAATAGTATTTTATCAGCTTTCTTTTTATTTATTTTGTAAAGACAAAAAACGCCTATAATAATTTTTTGTTTTATATAATGGATTCAAATAACAGCTTACAGAGGGCAATATAGAACAAGCTGTTACTCTTTTTTACGAAGGTGACATTCGAGCACCACTACAATCATCATCACGTCTAACTTCTACTTCTTCTAACAATGAAAACAACAACACTACGATAAAAGAAAAGGCAGGAACAACATCACAAAATACAAAAGAAACAACAATTCATACCGTCGATGTTGATGAAAACACCACAACAACAGTTACTACTATTGATGATGATGAGTTTTATGAGACTGATGAGTTTTATGAGGTTGATGAGATCGATGGGATTGATGAGATTGATGGGACTGATGAGATTGATGAGATTGATGAAATTGATGAAAGCATTACCACCACAATACCAAATACAGCCACAACTACTAATGGCTTTAAAACTGTTCTTGATGTAGATGATAGCATGGATTTAGATAAGAAAGATGACAAGATTAATAAAACTTCTCAAATTAATGCAGATGAAGAATTGGCTAGAAGGCTTCATCAACAAGAAGAAAGTACAGCAGCAGTTCGTCCACCTATCCAACCTAAGAGCGATATACTAATTGGTACTGATACTGGTGGCGAGAACCGTGATTCTTATTCAAGTATGATAGATCTATATTGCTATTATATATACAAACTTATTTGTATAAATATATATGTCTGTGTGTTTATATGCACAATTTTCAATGTCGTTGGACTCATTTTTTTTTTCTTTTTTTTTTATCAGCAAATGCTCGGCGCTTACGTGAACAGCAGCATAAAACTTTTGCTGGAGAGGTCCGTCCTCATCATCATGGTATGTGTATATGTATATTATATATTAATAATAGGGTATATCTTTTTAAATTTGACTAATTAACAAAACCAATTATTCCATCAATCAATCAATTAATTAATTTGCCATTAATCAAAATCAATCAACGTGATTCAATAACCAAATCATTAATTTTAACCAAACTACTAATTCATCATGATCATATAATTAACAATTAATAATAGCGACCAATAAGGTTGATGGATTAGTTAAATTGTATAGTCCTCCATTTGATATTATGAGTACAGAGGGTTTTGATAAGGTAATCAATCAATCAACCAATCAATCTGAATAATTGATTTAACAAGTTGAGTTAATAAATTGCAATCTTTACTATGTACATGTATATGAACAATCACGGTGATGTTAAAATGATGATTACAGACACGTAACAAGGCAAAATCAACAGGAAAATGGATAATGATTAATATTCAAAACATAGAAGAATTTTCTTCTCAATTGCTTAATTGTAATCTATGGAGTAATGAAACTGTCAAAGATGTTATTAAAGCAGATTTTTGTTTCCTTCAGGTAGCTATGAATAAATTTAATAGTAGTATAATTATTATTAAAATTGTAAATGATTAAATATAATCTTAAAAAATTTCAGTTCAATTCAGATAGTTCAGAAGGTTCTAAATATATAAACTTTTATCCTGTTTATAAATATCCACATATTGCTGTGATTGATCCAAGAACAGGTTTGCTTACAATTATTTATTATCTATTATAAAAATTTTAAATGATTTTAATCAAAAAAAATAAAAACAGGAGAACGATTGAAAGTTTGGGATTCTCAACTCGAACCAACAGAATTCTTAATTACTGGTATGTATATTTCTTCTTCCCTGTTGACATTATATATATATATATATATATTAATAATTATTCATATTATGAATAAAGTGACGGATTTTTTGGAAAAATATTCATTAGAAGAAGAACCAAATCATTCAGAATCTTCAAAAAAAAATAAAACTTCAGATGTAACCAATTTAATTATTATTAATTACCTTTTTTTAAGATTTATAATTAATAATTAATATATATACTTCATAAATTTAAAGGAAAATTCAGCAATGTCTGTAGATAATCAAACAAAAGCAGAACTGCAAATTTCAAATGATACCAATAATATTACTAATGACAATAATATTAAAGAGGAAAAAGAAATCTACAAAGTTCATCCGGTTTTTGAAGGTAATTTGATTATCTATTTAATTTTATAAATAATATTAAATTATATGATCGTTAAATATTACCATATTTTTAATATATAGAAATTCCATATAAATCTATATTTGATTCCATCAAACCAATTGAGAGGCCAGATCAAACAGGACCAAAATCTACAAGTATAAAATTTCGATTGGAAGGTAAGTTGTTATTATTATTACTGCTGCTTGCTTCTGCTGCTGTTATTAATGGCTAGCTGATTGATTTATTTAACTGGGAATAGATCGACATGTTATTAAAAAATTTAATAAAAAAGACCCGGCACGATATATGTTTGAATATTTAAAAGCGTCAGTTCCTGAACTTGAAGATAAATTTTTTGAGGTAAAATAAATATTTAATATGAATAGCATTTTTTTAAACAGTTACAATAATTATATTTTTTCTATATCTTATAGTTAAATTATTTAAGGAATAACTTGATTGAAAAAATTGACGAAACAATTGAAGAAGCGGGACTAATTAATGCGGCTATAAATGTAGTTTTAGGATGATGAATAAAACTGATATTTTGGACAATTTTATTTTATTTGTTTATTACTAATACATACATGAATATATGCATATATGCGTATATTGACTCTGGCTGTTTGTTTATAATAATTTCTTTTCATTAAAAATGAAACGATAATGTTAATTAATATTAATATAATATTCGTTGTTGTTAAATTTTATTGTATATATCATTAATTTATTACACTTTACCTATTTACCAACTAATATGGGGCATGGACAATAGAAAGGGACCAAACGTCAAAATCACGATTTTGAGATAATCGAAAAAAAAGATCTGCATTTCAAGTAATTACCTATTGTTTTTAAAAACTTTAACAGAAAATATCTCAAAATTTTATTAAGTAATGTGGGTATTGTTCTTAAGCTAAAATTGTTCCTTGCGACGAGTTACATATATATATGGCATCAACTCAAAATCATGATTTTTGACGTTTGCCCCCTTTCTATTGTCCATGCCCCGTATATTCGAATCATTATTCTACTACTTGTACTGTTATTAACAAACAATGTCATTGTTGAGAATTTTAGATAGAAAATTTAGAAGAAAATCCAGTTTGTTCTTCATTATCATTATCATTATCATTATCATCATCTTCATCTTTTTCTTATCTAAATAAACTATGAATAATACGATAGGAAATTGAATTCGCTTGCGAACAAAGTCATAAGGCAGCCATTATTGCAAATCAGAATCAGTGAGGAGTTTCTTTTCGACATGGGATATTAATTATATTCTTATCGCTGGACTATATTTGATTGAACTTTAATTTATTATATAATCTGTATATTGAAACTTTGGCAAGAAATTTGTTGGTAGAAGAGAAAGACGACAAAATTCCTTTAACTAGAAATAGAACAGAAATTTGAAAGAGAAAACCCCTTCTAGATAGAACTTTGAGTATAAATGGGTCATCACGACTTGTGTCAATGGGGCCTTTAATGCTCTGTCACATGATTTAGATGAGTGTCTGATAATGCTTTTTGATGCTTTAATCACGCAAATATTAGCCGCTAATTAATCCATTGAAATCACGTGAAAAGTTTCACCAATAAAATATGAAGAAACCAGACTATTCAAATTAAAAATTGTCGCGTAGATAATTTTATTCCAAGAATGAAAATTTACTAAAGAGTAGTGGTCGTATCCGTCGATTATCCGGATAATCGGTTATTCACCGAATATCCGTTGAATATTCATCGATTTAAATTTATTTAATATATAATACAAAAAATATAACAATTATTTATTCATCAGGAAAAATATTTTCAATACATTACATATTTTTTAAGAAATACAATCTTCTCAAATAACAATGGGTTCAATTTTGTTCATTTGGCTACCATTGTGTTTCCAGCTTCACTAAATAGACGCTCACTTAGGGCAGAAGTTGCTGCAATGCATAAATATTTTTTAGCCAATAATGGCACAGTTGGGTATTCATATTACTTGATATATTGTATTATTATAATGGAAAAAAAGTTGATAATAGTGTATTAGTGGACAAAATAGTATTTAAAAAATTCCGGATAAAAATTTTATTATTATTATTATTATTCACCAATTATCCGGGTGTGTGTGAGTGAGTGTTTAAAATCAACTCGCTTCTTGCAAATAACTTGGCTTAAAGAAACGGACGAGAAATTTAAAATACTTCTATTCCAAATTCCCGAGATGTTTACTTACTACGACGTGGTGAATTGAACCCAAAAATCCACTCTGATGTGAATTCTACATTTCCTCGATTAAAGTATCTTCCATATACTGTTATGAATTAATATTAAGTGAATTGCATTCACATTGTAGTTATAATAATAATAAAATAAGAATGAGTCATGAAATTATAATCACCACTGCTACTGATATTGTAAATTTAACCGAAAAAAAACTTTTATTTGTTTTATCTATTGAAATCTGGTCTAATTGCAAAAATCGAATATGTTGCTTGAAACAATAACAGATCAAACCCCAAAACCATTCACCGGTACAGCCTGATCCACCCAATTTATTTTATTTGCTGCCAATTTTTCCACCTTCGTTCACCACACTATTGTCATTTTAGTATGTTCAATGCAAATGCATAGAATTATTATTATTAATTATTCACGCGTATATATACGATTATTTGGTATTACTTGAATAAAAAACAAATCTTGAAAAATAAAAAATTGAAAAAAAAGTCATCGTCACCAAATTATTCACCGAGGTGCTAATAATTTGATAATAAAAGGATTTAGCATTATTTTCATCACCTTTAAATCTCACAAAAACCTGTACCTAAACCTGTCTTATGCACTATGTAAAAGTCATTTTACGTACCAATATTGACCAGCTTATGTATGTTTCAAACCCAGACACTAAAGTCAGCTGAAGCGTATTTTTATTTTATTGTGTATTTGTTATTAAGCATAGTTAACTTCAAAGACAAAAAACGAAAATCTGGGTAAAGTTTTTTTGGACGGGTCCAATCTCTATCCAAGATATAAAGGTCCTTGTAGGAAAGCAATCAATAATTTGGTTTTGCCATTAAACATAAAATAGATTGTGAAAAATCAATTATTTTATAATCCTGCTGATTTAATTCTTCTAAATGGATGATTAAAAACAGGATCAATTCAAGTAATGTTCTCAAATTATGAAAATATCATAGAGAGCTACCAAATCACCAACTATAAGCTATATAGTTCTTTAAGAACCAGTAAGGAACTAGGAAGAAGATGGATTATTAAGCAAAACTTGGAACCAAAAGAAAGTGAGGATTTAAAGAAATATTGATGATGCAAATTAAAGATTGGATCATTCAACAATCAAAGGAAATAGGAATTTAAAAGGGCATCAGCCCAAATGTTCTCTTTTACAAATAGAAAAGAGAAACAAAGCTATTGAACACCACCACAAAAATATAAAACAAAATAATAATCCAAAATAGTGTGGTTTCCAAAACTATTTTGAAGAAGCAAAAGTTAAAACTAAAATTAAAAAGTTATATATCAAAACTAAATTAGTTTCGCACGGTTAGTTGGTAAAGTATTTATAGTTTGAGTTCGCTTTTGCTAATTTCTCCAGTTTGGGCTTGAATGGCTTCTAGTTTTTGGTAGAGGTTAGACTTAATGCGTAAAACTTGCAATTCTATTTTGACCATAAAATTTTTGAAAAGAGCGAACAGCAAAATGTAATTAATTTACAACCCCAAAAAAGAATCAGTGACAATGGAAATAATAAAAAATATAAAAATACAAAAACCTAACCAATTTCAAAGGAATGAATGCCAATGGAAAATTTTACTTTGAACTGAAAGAAAATTAAACAATAACGGTAAATTTATTGTCAATGTTTAAATATAACCAATAGAATTACCTTCCGTCTAATCACATGATATTGAATTTCAAATTTCCATCTTTGATTGTTGATTGTGTAACAGATATTATTTAAATAAATTTTTGTAAATGGTTGATTTAACTTCAGAATTTCGTAAATTAATTATAGATCTTTCAAAAACAACCACCTCGACTAGTGGAAGAAACAAAAAAAATCATGAGAATGCAACAGCATCAATACTATTACCAATACCTGCTAAAAATAAAGTCATGAGAGATGAATATTTAAAGGAAGCTTATAGAATTGTAAGATAAATTTTTTTTAAAGCAATGATATTTTATTTATCTTGAAATTAAAAAAATAAATGAATTTTACACCTTATATAATATAATACTAATTTAACAGGTTTCTCATATCAACAATTTAAAACATTTTCTTTTATCAGTCCGTAAAGCTTATTTAAATATATCAACAAAACCTTCGAAAACTAGTAGTAGTAGAAAGAATAGCAGTATCAGTAGCAGCAACAACGATAATGAAGACAATTTATTAATAAATAAATTTGATCTTTCAGTCACATCTCTAACTAACATAGAGAGAGATGAAATTGATTTACAAGCAAAAATAATCATTCAACAATGTTTAGACAGAATTAAAAAATTGCAAGAAATAGAAAAAGGTATTTAAAAATAAAATAAAATATACAAAAGTTGATTTTATTACGTTAAATTGAATTAATTAAATTATCTTTCTCTCCTAATAATAGAAAGACAAAATTCAATTACATATAGTACTTGGTCAAAATTACTATCTGTAACTTCCATGAATGACGAGCATGAAGTTTTAGCAGCAATTCATAGTAGTATTGCATGGTATTTGAATAAGCGGTTGACAGAAGTGTCTAAAATACAAAAAGATCAACAGGAAGCCAGAATGATTAAAGAGATGGAGAAACGTGAGAGGTATCAATTTATTAAGAAATTATTTGATAGATTTATTGACAATTATAATAAGTAATTGATGGATAATTAATTAATAATATTTATAAATAAATTAGTACATTATACAAGTCAGCTGCTAAATTGTCGCTTCTAAACAATAATCCTGAATCTCTTCAGTCGAAAATGAATGAAGAAAGAGGAGACTCGCCATCAAGAACAGACAGTGAAATAGACGGGAGTTTGACAGAAAATGATGAAAAAGGTGATGATGATGACGACATTGATCATCATTTGTCAGCAGAACAAAAAATGGTATTAGAAATGGAAAATGAATCCATCATGAAAGAATTGGAAACTTCTTTACAACAAGTCAAGTAAGGATATTAATGATTAATGTTTAATGTTTAATGATTATTTGATTTATTTATTGAAGTTTCTTAATTTTAAATTTTTTAGTCAAGCAGAAAAGGCATTATTGGAAATTTCAAATTTACAAACAATACTATCTAATCATTTAGCAGTACAAACTCAACAAACAGATAGGTTATATGCAGAAGCAATTGCCACAACAGACAGAGTGCAGGAAGGCAATTTAATGTTGATAAAGGCAAGAGAAAGAGCTTCAGATACAAGAAAATGGATATTAGTATTTTTAATATTAGCTAGTTTTATTTTATTCTTTTTAGATTGGTATGATTAGAAGAAGTTTGTTTTTAAATTTTTATTAATAATAATATCTTTAACATTCTTTATAATACTAATACGGATAATGCCAATAATAATTATTAACAAAAATATAGATTGTTTTTTTAATCAAATGTATATGTATATATTACATAAAATCAACTTTTTTTTTTTTAATACAGATTCTGTAAATGCAAAAGAACAGAATTAAATAATAAAGGAAATATTACAACAAATATAATTTACATATATAAATATTTATATGATATTTAATTTTGTACAGCAGAAGCTGTCTCTACACCTTCACCACCTCCAGCTTTCTTTTTCTTATCTTTCTTTTTACTTGGTTTTAAATTAGTAGCTAACAATTTTAAAATTTCCTCGCTCTCTATTTTCTTATCACTTTTCACTGCTTCTGGATTGAATAAAGTGTTTGTGATCTTGATTGATCCATTTTTTGTCAAGAGAACAGTATTGAAAAACTGTGCAACAAAATCACCTATATAATAAAAACTCAATTTTATTAGTTATTTATTAGCTTGTAAAATAATTTCTTACTGTCCACTTTCACCATTACTTTTAATCCTTTCCTTAATTAATACCAATCATATTTATTATACTAACCTTCTTTATCCTGGTAAACTTCGTATGGTGTCACTAATGAATGATTAGAACATTCAAGTATTCCCATTCTAGCTTTCTTTTCATCTTCTAATGCTCTCAAAGGAAATGGGAAAGGACCAAATTTTTGACTTATTTCATTGAAAATTAAACGGGCTGTTTTCATCTTTAGTGAATAGTTGTTTTCAGTTTTTTTATAAACAGTTGTACGTTTATTTGATGGCTTTCTCTAAAAAATAAAAAAAGGTAAGCAGGTATGAAGTTATTAATTCTTATTATAATCTTACGAACCTTTCCTTCACCAGTTGAAATTAATATATCTACACCATAAACTTCATTCTCACTGAATTCAACAACTTCATGAACTCGCTTTTGAGCATCACTAGGATTAAGAATTATTTGTTTTTTTCCTTCAATAATATTCTTTTCTTGTTGATATGATAACATTCCTACATAAAATAAAATAAAATACAAATGTTAATGTATAAAAATTACTTATAATTATCAAAATAAAACAGATGTCAAGTATACCTTCTACAGTATTTGTACCATATATTTGTGCAATTTCCTGTGTTGTCTCAGTAACCTTTACATTACTTAAACCTGGTTTTATTAATCTCAAAGCAGCTTCTGATGCCAAATGTGCAGCCATTAAAACATCAGCCAGTTTTCCTACTACTGGCTTTTCTTTGGTTGCTCCAACAACAAAAGTACTAGCAACTATAGCAGCAAATCCATCAACTTGAGCTCCTAATTGAATTTTAACCAAATCTTCATTCTTTAAAACCTCTGAACCTTCCGGATCCGATGGTAATGGTGAAAAATGACAAATAATGTGGTTTACTGACACACACGTTGGAAATGCAATTCCTTAAAATTACCAAGCAAAACAAATAATTCATTAAAAAAAAATAATTTAATTAATTAATAATCAAGGTCAGTTGATTTACCTTTTGTAATATGTTTGGCTTTAGAAAAAAGTACTTTAACACCATCATCAATCAATTTATCACCCATTGCACACAGATCTATAATCCTTGCGCCATCAACAGCCGATTCGATCATTTTTTTAAGCACGCCTATATTAAAAATAATTAAATAATTAAAAACATAGAGATCTGCGTCATTTCTCCTCCTTCCACTCTCTCGATCAAAACATCAAACATTTAAAAAAAAAACTGCATTATTTTATTGTTGGTAATGGTGGCAATTTTACTATTAGCATCGATCATTGAATATTTAATTGAAACTTTATGAATAATCGCTACTAATGCTGATAAAATTACAAGTTGTGAAGAACACGCTTTTTTAAAAAAACCACTAAACACGTACGATTTGAAACCTCCGCCGCCATTTGATATTTATTAACAACCTCCGTACTTTCAACAGTTTGAACGACTTTAGTTTCTTCGCTCATTTTTTGAAAATTAATATTATTTCTAGAAAAAAATATACTTTTTTGTAGTGTATATATATGAAGATTTGAAAATGGTGATATATTTCCCAAAAAAGGTAACTCTGTTTCCTTTATAGGTAAGATATTCACGTTTCTCAGCTAATTTTATTCCCTGTTGTCGATCATGTATATAACAATTTTTTGTTTTAAAGGAAACAGGTTTCATGAAATGTAAATAAAAAAAATTATGTTATTATGTAGTTGTGTTAAAATAAATGGATCAATACTAATTATTTTGGGCAGTCAGCTAAGTATTTTAATTAAAATTTACTATTCACTGTTATTATTGCCTAATTGTTACTACTACTAAAACACTTTTGAGCAAAAATAATTTTTTATGGGCCCAACTATTTTTTATTAATAGCCAAAATTGGATGAAATTATTTTAGGTTAAAATTGGTTGATTTATATAGTTTTTTCATCTTCATTCTTATAAAAAATATTGATAAGTCCACCCAAACTTATTGTCAAAGCTACTTTTTTTTCAAAAATAATCTAGACCAGAAACCTTATTACTAATAATTGACTGTCACTGTTATTATAACTACTATTATTATTAACTAATGGTTTGCCATTATTAACAAATCATTGTTGCCATTAATTCCTATATCTAATTTTATTCTACTATGAATATTAGGACCAACTAACTGTTTTTAAGTAATTATTAGTGGCATACAAATAAATACAATTTGTAGAGATTTTTTTACTGACTGAAGTCAATTACTAACCAGCTAAGCTGTTTGATATTCTCTTGACCAGCTGATATACTATTTACAAGAATCCATTATCAGCTGGAATCATTAATTTGGGGATAAATTTGATAACATATAAAATAGCAAATGCCTTTTCATTGTTATTTACAGTTTGATAAATTAATAATTTTTTTGAAAAATGAATTGGAAGAATCCTTTCCCTTTCTAATTATTATTATAGATTACAAATTTTGTTTTGTCTTTTTTGTTAATGTAATCAAAAACTTGAGCTTTTCTTTGTCAATAAAAAGTTTTATTTTAAAAATAATTCACTCAGACATCTAAATGCTTTTCCTTTTAAAATCTCCCATTTGGAAATAAAATAAATCAAAAAAGTTGCCATAAATATTCTCTTTAATTAAAAAATTAAGTCATAATAAAATGTCCAACCTTATTTTGCCATCATAAATTACTGATCTAAATTCACCCTCAAAACCCTGAAAGGACATGCCCATATGTCTGAAATCAAGTGATCAAGTAAGTAGAAATAGTAGAGATGAATTGGCTAAAAGTTCAATAATTTAGTTAATATACCCAAGTTGATGTATATATTATCACTGAAATGAACAAACTAATGTAATAATAATTTGAAATAAAATATAAAGTCATTATTTCATTAAAGTAGCATGCACATGTAGTAAAATATCATGCAATAAAAATAATACAAAGCCTTTATTTGATTTTTGGTAATACAGTAATTATTCAAGAAAAAATTTATATAAGTTCTTTAACCAGCTGAGATTTTTAACGGCTGATATCACTAAAATTAATTATGTCTTTACATTATTATTGCTCGCTTTTTTTATCACAATTGAATAGTAGAATATTTCATAGTTATTAAATGTGACATAAATATTAAAGATGGAAAAACTGCTCTTAAATGATTCGAAAACACCAAAAACGATATTGGAACTTACAGATATTGAAAAATATCTTGGGGCTCAAATATTTAAAACATTGGAGTATTCTCTGGTGTCAAAAAGGTTACTTTAGCTATCACCTTCCGAAGATATGATCATGCTATTTAAATTTCAATGGGGGAGGGCTGTGGCTCTGAAGTTTAGCAGAAAATTGCATTATTGTCAAAGAGACTGTCTTTTAAAGATTCTTTATGTCTGAAGCCTCCAAATTTACAGTGCCCATTCTATATAGTGTGTTTACGTTTTGTAACACAGCTTGCTTTTTGTTAATGATAATATTTCTATCAAATGGGAAGGCTCTCATGAGAACGTCCATGGAGACAAGTTCAGAGAAAAATGAACTAGACCCTACAAGATTTCCAAGTATGGAATAATAGGTATATAAATTACGGGAAAAAGGTTCGCCAAGAGTTCTGTCTACACCTAAACTTAATATGTTAGATTTAGTGTGGTCAAAGCAAAAGATGAATAACTAAAAAATATGATCACGTTATTGAGGCACTTTGTGTGTCATCAAATTCTGGTTTATTAATATGTTACTGAGATGTGATAAATATATAAATTATTCAACTAATGGATGACATTTAAATGTTTCTCCATTTAAACTAGCCTTGGCCTCTTTATAAAAATTTTCCAATTCATTATCTAGCAATACATTTACACCTTTAGCACCTAATCAAAATTAATTGGTCAATTATGTAAATTAAGTGTAAAAGTAAATATATATATTGAAAGATTATTTACCATCTGTTACTTTCTTAGCCCATTCGAAATATTCTAAATATATAAATAAAAAAAAAGAAAATTTAAATATATATATATCTTAATAACATTATAATAATAAGTACTAACCGATTACTCTCTGTTTTGACCAATCAACTGGTACTTGGCGTGTTATGTCATTTAAATTATACAATTTATCTGCAAGTTTTACAAGTTTAGCCTAGAAATAAAATTAATACAATGTAGTAATTATTAGTGTCTAACACAATTTTTGCAGTTACTACAAGCTATTGCTATTGATATTTTAATATACCTTGTCTGACTTATTAGGAGTGTTTACAATTTGCAGACGTTTCCTTTCCCATCTTGGTAAAGCCTTATCATCTGTACACTCTTCTACTATGTATGCAACCTCTTTTCCAAATTTCTTTTCTAGCTAATCATAATCAAAATTAATGTGAATTTGTAATAATTGTAATTATATGTGTGTATACACATGTAAACCCGATAAGTCGGACGCAGTAATCAATTGTTTAAAATACTTGATAATATAAATAAATGACCGACTTATCGAGTTAAGAAAACTTCATTATATTGTAATCGTAATCACCTCATCAAATGTTGTATTAGTATCTTCAACAGTATCATGCTAATTAATATACAAACATTTATGAAAAAATAAAATAATCATCTTCAATGAAAAACAATGAATAATTTGAAAAAAAAAAAAGAATTACCAAAGCAGCAGCTTGTAATGTAGCAATATCATAAACACCAGCGTCTACAAGATTCTTCATTACACCAATTGGATGATTTATATATGCTAAATTGTAATTAAAGAATCATTAGTTAAGAATAATTAATAATTAATTAATTATTATATTATTATTAATATTAATAAATAAAATTTTACGTGTTCCGTCCAAATCTTTTCTTTTTTGTTTTGAATGCTTAATTGCAGCAAAGTCAATAGCATCTATTAAACCTTTTAGTGCAATATCAGGTTGTGTTGTTGGAATCGGGTTGTTCGACATTTTTTAAATTTAAAAAAAAGTTTATAAAGCTGATTTTCCTAGTTTGGGTGCCGATCACTTAAACATTATATGAAAAATGCGAAAGGTAAGTGAGTACCGTAGTAAAAAAAAACAAGTTTAATATAGCAAATCATATATTCCTGTCACTCCCCCCAGTACGGTACTCACCTTATAAATATAAAGTGAGTACCTTATTAAAAAGTACAGTACGCATTTTCTGCATGGGATTTTTTTTTAATACGGCTTTCAATATGGTATGCAATTTCTACATACCGCGATTTTTTTATTTCAAATCATAATGTGAATGAATCTGGATTAGAGATTGAAGTCAATCTATGAAAATATTGAATCTAATGATGGCTGGAATTTGTTTTTAAATACAGAGTTAGTTAGAATCAGCACTTTCAAAATTAATTAAAACTGGCAACAAGAGTGTTACTTTGGAATTTAAGAGTAGACCTCTGATGCAGCAGCAAAGGCTTTAGACAAAAACAAAGAAATGCTGCTAAAGGAACAGCTAAAACAACAACTTCTTTCCAGATTAAAAAAAAATTAATTAATATAACACTATTATTAATCAAACAAAATAATTTGTACTCAAATGATGACTTGAAGAAAATAGATCTAATTTTTTACTAGAAACTCTTTGAAGTATACTTGTAATAAAAGAAGAAAAATGGTATTAGATTACAATATGTTGAATGTATCTTGGTCTTTATCTTGTAAGAAACGGCTATTCAAAACTTTCTGCAAATCTGAATCAATCAATCAACTGTGGTCCTTGAATGGCCAGATCAAGCCAGCATGTATCAAATTATCATGAATTGTTAATGGATTTGAAAGTAATAGTGTAAATTTGTTGTTGTGCAATCATCCAAGATATCAGAATAATCATATAATGTTGGGACTTCCAAGCTTTGAAAATTCTTCTCATAATAAATTATTGATTTTGAATGAGCCACTTGCATGAAATCAACTGATGAAATTAAACCTCCATCATATATATAAAGATGATACTGTACTTTTATTAGTTGAGCAAGACCATGAACTACTTACTTTACAACTATCTGAAGATTCTCTTATTAAAGCTTGAATATTTCTATCAGACTGAGTGCATTACCCTAATGGGCTACTTGACTAAATTATTAGTCAAATTAATGTGTTAAGTCAATTTCAAAACATTACTAAATTAGTATTTTACCCCTCCAAAATTCATCCGCCAATTTGAATTCCCATGAGAATATTCGACATCCGCCAAAATTAAAACAGACTATTTAAAAACATATTTATTTATTTATTTATCATGACAGTCAACAATTTGACTGATTAAAGAAGCATAGAAATCATTTTTGTTGAATAGAATCAGCGAATAAATTATTTTAATTGAATATTAATTTCGGATATTTTAATTTTGGCGGATGTCGAATATTCTCATGGGAATTCAAATTGGCGGAAAACTACACGATTATCTTTATGCCGGTAATTTGTTAATTTACAGCTTTTAGAAGCATTTTCTGGATCATTATTACATAAAGGTTTTGAAATAAAATGTTATTATTATTGTTATATATTTTTATATGCAATTATTCATATACATACATACAAATGTATCTATATATATATGTATATATCCCTAATTATTATTATCATTATCAATAGACGATATTAATTCATGGATATTCTTGGGTTTTTACAAAGAGCTGCTACACACAAAAAAAGATTTAAAGTTTGTGACTGAATCTAAGCCTTATTCTTTAGGGTAAAAAACGAATTAATAATTTTTTATCTTAAATTACCAATAAATAAATGATTGATTGATTGATTGATTAGAATCAGGACAACTAAGATATTGAGAAAGTATGGTATTCCAGCAATAATAATAATTGACACAGCTGTTGGGTATATTATTGATAAAGTGAATGCTGTTTTTGTTGATGCTGAGGGAGTTGTAGATTAATTAATGCAGTAAATAATATTTTATAATTAATTATATTATTATAGGTGTCAATATATTTATGTTAAATATCAATGTATATTATGTTATTATGTGGTGTAGATTGGCACTTAACAATTAGCAATAGTAGCCAAAGCTGCTAATAAGCCATTTTATACAGTAATTGAAAGGTAACAATTTAAATTTATTATTTGTGGTATTTTTATTAACTTTGTCTCCTTTTCCCTTTATCCTTTTCCTCAACCTCTTCTTACTTTACTTCTCTTCATCACCTTCCCTCTCTCTAGCTATAAATTTGTTTGAATATTTCCACTTAATCAACACAACCTACCAACTCATATGCCAGATTTACTAACATTTCCAGATTTGGAAAACAAAATCCATGTAGAAAAAATAGATGAAGAAAAAGAAATTGAAAATTTTGTAGTTATTAATCCAACAGTAGATTATACACCACCTGAATATATACTTTGTTGTGTACAGATCTTGGTGTTTTGACACCTTCTGATGTCAGTGATGAATTAATTAAATTGTATTAATAACAATAGTAATAGTAATATTGGTTTATTGGTTTGCGGCTTGTTTTGAACAAAAAAGAAGAGAGATTTATATTATATTTATAGTATTTATATATTAGAAAGGTAGTGATGGTTTGTTCTTTTCTTTTTCTAATCGTTTTTCCTAGTAATAACAATGATGATGATTTTTACATGTAAATATACACCCCATACATAAAAATGCAAATTTATAAATTTGTACAATTTACCTTTCTCCAGGTCTCAATTACTTTTGGCATTTCTTCTAACGATTTCTGAATTTTCTGACGCCTATAATAATAATAATAATAATAATAAATAATTCACCCTATCCATCAAATCTTTCCCCATCAAAAAATTTTCTCCAAAACAATACCTTTTAGGAGCATCTCTTTCATATTTAGGACGTTTAGGTTTTTTAAGTCTAGGTGGTCGTTTCTCGGGTTTAATAGGCAAGCCAATACTGGTAGGATCCCTTTGTAGATAGTCTAAATTCTTTCGCATTACATTCAACATTCGTAAACTAACTTTTGGTTTCTTGTAAATTGGTTTGCCATACATGTTATAACCTTTAAAAGTTGGTCGGAAATCACTTGGTTGGTATCTTTTTTTCAATTGAGCAAGTGCTCTATCTGATATTCTTTTTATTGCAGACATTATTTTAAATTTGAAAAAAGATTTTGCATGGATAAATGAGCAATCTACATAAATTTAGCCAAATTGGGATCAATATTTATTCACATCAATTCGTCTAAACAAGAGAGTAAAGAAAGGGTCTGATCATTTTTTTCAATTTTGTGAATAGAATTGGTGGCAATTAAAATAAATCTACTTCCTTTATTAAATAAATAATTCAGTAACTTTTTGAGCATCAAAAACTGGTAATAAAGTTTCTTCGGGGGTTTGATTTTTAAAGCAGATAATAGGAAATTCACCTGCTTCGATAAGTTTTTTATCATTATAAATCTTCGAAACCAATCAGATTCTTGATACTTTGTTTTGCTCTAACCCCCCTCTCACTCTTTTGAAATATCTACAACGTAACATTACGCCCGCACTGAATTTCAAAACCATTATTATACCGATTTGATTTTGAGACATAGGAGGCTGAATCTTTGTCAACTTTATCGATTTCTTTGAACACTATTTTTAATCAATAAATGATAATATCTTGAATAATTTTTAAAAAAAAACCGGAAAATTACTGTTGTCAAAAAACTTTTTATAATATTACTAAAAATTCATCAACTTTACTCAAATAAATTTTCAAACAAAGCTTTTCTTTTTTAAATCATTTTCTAACTGAATCTGGCAATTAGCTGTTGAGTAATTTGCTTTTAAAATTCACAATATGGTTGGATTTTACTTGCTTTTTTGCAATTATGTTATTAGAATAATGAGATACATTTATCTAATAAATATACCAGATTGCTAACACTCAATTATCAATTAACTATTTCATATTAATAAGTTGTATGAAGCTGGCGATGTGACTTGTAGGAGAGTTAACCGTTCGAAGAAACGGAATCGCCTTTTGAATCACGTGACATATCGCAATTTAATTAAATTTTTGGTAATCAATGATAAATAATGTGATAGAAGTTAAAATTTAAAAGATGCGAGACGATTCATCATTGAAAAGTGGAATACAACTCGTGATTTATTCTAATTAATAAAAAAATCAAGATGTCAGCCTGTAATTAAAAATCAACAGTGAAAGTATTTCGTATTAAAATATATTTAATAAAAGTTCTGCCCTTAACCTATCGAATGGAAATATTTTCTATATGAATTAATAATGCAGTTAGTTGTTCCATGATGATTAATTTGATTTTCCGGTTTTTTTTGCAACACACTGTATGTTGAACATTTGACATTGGATATATGCGTGCTTTCCATGGCTACCATAGATCTATTGTTTTTTTTTGGAAAAAGAAAAAATTAACTAATGCAATATTATAAAAAATCATTATTATATAAATTTAATTATAATAAATAATATATCCATACTCCATTTAATATGTTTTAAATAATTTAAATAATTTGATGATTTTCAAATTATGTCTGCTCATTAACCGCAAAAAGAACAAGATTAAAATTGTTAAAATTTTTACTAAATATGGCAATGTTTGATCCATAACCAATTAACTAAAGGTTTTCACAGTTAATCAACCGGCCAAAGAATTTTTATACGGTGCCAACCTCTAGGAAAAATGGTTGGAAACTATTATATTGATAATAAAGAATTCATATCCAACTACATTGGATGTTGACTATCCTAAATCATTTGAATATTTTCATATCATTTTTAATATTTGAAAGTTTTAAAAAGATATGTTGATAAAAAATTTTGTAAAAATCATAGTTATTAATAAATTCCTATGATAATTTTGTTTTTAAGTCAATTAAATCAAATTCATAATGTAATAAAGCAAGATTAACATGGATTTATTTATATTTTGACAGTTAGGCCTCTCAATTTAAAATTGGAGGAGGGTGATAAGGAAGGGCTCAATTCTAATATTGTAACCAAATAAATTTATTCATATTAACATGCTAAAATTAGATACATATTGAATAAAGCAAAGAAAATCAAAATTTGTTTATCCCCACTCCACCACCTATAAAAAAGATTTGATGTGCATAAACCCTCCAATTAAACCAAAAAATCGTCTTTATTATCATTAAAAATCCAATTAAAAATTGCAAAAGAGCTAACAACTGACATTGTGAAAATCATTATTGGAGGCCAGTAAAGTAATCCAAAAACAAAAAAATGGCATCCTGCAAAAAACGCTGCGCTTCCAAGAATAATTAGCATAATGCCCACCACAAAAGTTAGAAAAAACAAGATAATTGTTAAAAGCATGACATTTAATATTGCCTCTTTCACTGTAAAATTTCTAACCCAATCAAAAAAAAGTGGAAGTTCTTTGCTAATCTGATTTGCTGTATATGTAATGAATTCTTCAAATGTTTTGGTTGCTTGGTCAATAGTTTCTTTGTCGATTCTTTGAGCTCTTGCACCGATTTTAGATGCTGCTAAATCACTTGTTTTTGCACCTTCAAACTCTTCAGACAATTTTTTCATAAAACGAGCATATTTTACATCTCCATCATTGTATTCGTTTTTTTGATATTGATTTTCATTTTCATCACTTTCTCCAACACATTTTAATTCGTAATTATCTGCCATTTCTAATCATTTATTATTAAAATTTTTTTGTTTGTAGATAAAATAATTTACTTTATATATATATAATTATATAATCATAAAAATGATATCATACATCATCATCATCATTCCAATTTAATTAATCAATCTTTAAAATATAAAATTTCAAGATCTTTTAAGATCTTTTTCAATATAAAAAAATATCATATAATGACATATTTTATGTATCCAATTTATTTTAGTGAATGAACAAAAGGAAAAAGAATAATTATTCAAATTTATCCATTCAAGTACATAAAGTATGTATTTATTATTATAAATATATATTGAATTAAAAAAACAAATAATTTTTAAATAGAAAGAGATACACTTGTGAAGGATTAAAAAAAAAAAAGGCAAGGTAAATATTGGATTTTTGATTTTTACCATTCAGAAAAAACCATCACCAGAGATTGAAGACAAAGAATATGAGGTATAAAAATGTTGTTAGAAAATGTTTCCTTTTTGGTCCTATTTACAGCATATTCAACCCAACAAATGGACATCTATTATGTAGGTTGCAGTTGAAACAAAACTTGTAAAGGAAAAAAATCAAGATCATGAACTTTTTGATGGCACAAGAAGTTGCAATATTTATATTTTATGTGAGCCATTCGGACCCATTATCAAAAATGGATACAAAGGACTGCTTTGAGATGATAGCTTGAAACACTGCTGTTCAAATTAATCTCCCTAAAGATATCTTCATTGTTTGCTCAGCAGGGCAGGGTTGGCAATAGACCAAAGTCCCGGCCGTGTTTACTTGGTCGAAAATCATTTCGTCGACACCCATTTCGTCGAAAGTTTGTTTCATCGAAAGTTCATTTCGTCGAAAATTATTTCATCCTCGAGCCAGAGACCGAACGAGTTAGATGTGAGGAGTGTGGGAAGTTAGTTAAGAAATTAGGTGAGGAAAGCGGGGTGTGTGGGAAGTGTGAAGAGAAATTTGTTTAATGAAGTTTTTTTTTGTGACGAAATAATTTTCGACGAAATGAACTTTCGATGAAACAAACTTTCGACGAAATGAACATTCGACGAAATGAACTTTTGAAACAAACTTTCGACGAAATGGGTGTCGACGAAATGACTGTCGACGAAATGAATCAGACCCCGTGTGATAGTTACTCGTGTTAATTTACTCATTAAAAGTTTTTTTCTTTCTCTGCCAGAGTTAAATTAGCTTTAAAGTGCAACGAGAAAATTATTTACAAGTGCCATTATGATTATCGTACATATTTATAAAATTGATGTTGTCGATTTTCTACAATAAGAAAGACTTTACTGATTTGTTATTCGGATATTTGTTTTTTGATACAATATTTTTCCTCAGAAAATTCTTACAAAGCTTGCAAGTCAAAGAGATGTCCATTGGCCAAAATTATTATATTTTTCCGATTCGAAGGTGAATAAACAATTTTATTCACTTTTAAAAATTCATTGGAATAAGCACGATTTGTAGCTTCACCGATAACAAGCAAAGGTAGTTTCTCATACTAAAATTGACTCATATATATGTGTTTACAATAAATACTGCTCAAACGCAACACATTTTTTTGTTTTTACACGATGCGATCTTCAAAGTTAAAATATCCCTTATTTATTAAATAAGGCTTGTTCCTACTTTTGTAAAACCAAGTAATAGATTATTCTCTATTAGAAGCAAAGCCATCTAACTAATTAAAAGTTCCATTTTTTAACTGATTTAGAGTTTTAAACTGAATTACAAATGAAAACATATTCATGTTGTGTCAATTTGAAATTTACCAATTAAATTTTGGGGTGGATGTTTGAATACAAAATTCTGATTGGCTAATTTGAATTTCACGCGTGAATTTTAAATTGACGCAGATTCCAAATTCACGCTTCCAATCTTCCTATTTAACTCTTTTTTTTCTTTTTTTTATTTATTTTTTATTTATAATAAAAGTACAATAACATTAAAAATATAATATAAATATAATATATATATATATATATATGTTTGAACTTTAAATAAAAGAATATTAAGAATAAATAATAAATCTAAAATAGAACAACACCAATTAATAAATAAACAAACTATAATTTCCCACAAAAAGACACCAACGAATAAATAAATCGCGGCGGAAAATAAAAACCAAAATTATGAATGAATGTATGTATGTATGTATGTGTGCATGTATGATTTTAAATTATTTAAGATGTTGTTCCATTAAGGTGATGATGAATATATTTGATTGATTTTAATATTAATATTTGGAGTCCCGTCGAAATTTAAATTTTGATCAATTTTTTCAATAACATCTTTTTTACCATTTGTCAAATCAATTTTGCCATCGTTGGCAATGATACCATTTTCTTGACTATCATCATCTTTTTGAATATTTTCTTCATTATCATCATCGTTATCATTATCATCTTTATTGTCATCATTTGATTTGTTGCAAGATTCGTATTTAAAAATACCATCGCTCAAAACATCGTCTTCGTCAACTTCAACATCATCTACGTCACTATCGTCAGAATTATCACCATGTTTTCTATTATCAGAAATATCACCAACCTTTTTATTTTCATCAAATTGTTGATAGATGAAATTTTTGTATCCTTCTTCCCCTTTTTTATTATCATCACCATTTTCAAATTTATTATTGTTATTGTTATTATCATTACCTGTGTAAATAAAAGGAACATCTTCATCAGATTTATACCCAGAATCATATTTAGCATTAAGGTTCTTGGTTGGAATAACCCCAACTGACATACTCATTCTATTATCCATGTCTGGCAATGGTCCCGGTGATGGACTGGTAAGACTATTGTGTGATCGAGGGATAAATACTGATGCATTTGGATTAAGGCTGGGGGCAGGTGAGACGAAAGCACTTGTTGGTTTATTTGTTTGTGGGATTTGTATTGCTGCTGTTTTGGAAGTACGGTTATCATTATTGTTGTTGTTATTTTGATTGTTTTCAAACATAATATCATATGGATCAATAGTTGTTTCTGTAATGATTATTGGATTTTCGAATGATTTTGAAAAATTATTGCCAAGTAAATAATCATTCTTATCGAATTTATTAGTGTTATTGTTGTTGTAGCTGTTAATATTAGAAGTAATTAATGACTCATTTCCTTCTGGTTTCGGAAGGACAAATGGTTCATCCAGATCTTCTGACACATCATTATAATGAAATTCTGTTGATTGGGAGATTTTTGTTGGTGATTCAACAGTTGAGTCATTGTTTGCATAAATTTCAGTAGCTCCATCATCACTATCTATATCATTATATCTGCCAACGCTAACATCGTCATCATCATCATCCTCCTCTTCTTCCTCCATCTCATCTTCATAATCATTTTCTATACAAGGAAGAAGTTCATTTTCAATCAATGGTTCAATGAAAATACTTTCATCAATCAATTGTTGTTTATTAAGGTAAACACGTGATACCAGCCAATGATGTACACTTAAATTTCCCACTCCTAGCTTTGAAAGATCATACGGTAGCTTAATATTCACACCATCTATGTTGATTGTACGAGAGGTAGAAGTGTTAGCGGTGGTCTTGCGGCTGAAAGCTAGCTCATCGCCATCCAGTTCTTGTGAAATGATATTTAATTGACATTGTTCAAGCAATGAGCAAATCAACTTTGATTTACGAGCACCTGGAGGGGAGAGTACAATTTCTGAAGAGTCGCCACCTGATTTTCCAGTGCCGTAAGATTGATTGATTTGCTTAATTTCCTCATAATGAGGTTGCATCCATGGAATAACTACCGTTTCTTGATTCCCTTCACGGAATGATTCTAATTTTTGAAATAAAATTTCCTTGTATGCACTGTAGTCATTGTCTGGTTTGATGTGGTTGGATAGTTCTTTTAGGATTTGATTTGTGCGAGCAGGTATGTTACTCCATAACCTACGTATTCTGCGCACTTCTGGTGATATCAAAGCTTTAATTATTGCAGCAAAGCTATTAAAATTACGATAAACGTTTAACAGGTAATAAGATATTCTTACAGCATGAGCAATTATACTTTCACGTGGATGCTGAGCGCCATTACCACGTGAAAGACTTCCAGATGATTTGACATTATCAAAAGTGATAAGCTGATGTGAAAAACTGTTGGTTAGATAACGATGAAAATCGAGACAAGCTTGTGGTTTTGAATTTTTTTTATCTTTTGTTTGAAAATCTTTTTTGAAATCAATTTTTCTAAATAGATCACAATCAATTATCGTCAACTGCGCTGCAACAGCATCAGCATCCCAGTAAAGTAAATTTACTTCAGAAACCAAGTTGATTTCTTTGTTGAGCTTTTCAGTTTTTGATTCGATGGTTCTTATTTCGTCCTCTATGCTACGAAGCTGACTAAGATGAGAATTGTCATCATCATCATTTTTTCTTTGAGGATTTCGTTGTTTGATATTATTGATTTTTTCTTTAGCCGCTTCTAGATCTTGAGAATATTGTAATGCATTTCTTGATAGAGGAGAAAATGGAATAAGCGGTAAATGTAATGGTGTTGGAGTTGTGTTTTTTAATGTAGGAGCAAAATCAGAAATGGAAGAAGGTTGTGGTGAAGGGAGGTTGCCTACTGTAACTTTATTTTGAAGAATATCTTCTAATTTTTGTACACATGTTTTAAGTTGACTAAACAAACGAGCACTATTATGGGGTTTTGATTTAATACTTTCTACATTATTTTTTTAAAAAAAAAATTTGAATATTTAATTGAATAAAGGAATAAACTAAACTTTAAACTAATATATAAAAATTTTGTTATTTTCAACTACCTCTGCTGATGAAAGTAACCTCATTTCCTAGTTTATAAAGTAACGCATTGGCAGTTTTCAAATAGTTATCGTATGAATCCTATGTTTATGAAGTGATTTCAAAGTTGATCAATGATCTTGTTATTATTTTGGTATCTAATAATTTCTTGCTTCTTTGTTTTATTTTCTTTTTTTTTTAATTATTATTATTATTATTCGTTTTAAAAAAAAACAAATAGTATCATACCTTGAGGTTTTCATTATGATAATCACCTGTTGCAATATTATATAAGTTTTCCCAACCGCTCATAGTTGAGTATTTTTTTTCAATGAAGGTATTTATTTTAATCTATGAGTAATATGAGTAATAAAAAGATAAAAAATTTTTAAATATATGTGACGATGATGTATAACAAGCTTTGTTTTAAATATAAAAAGGGGGTGCTTGTTTGGAAAATTGAAAACGTATATATGAATGGATGAAAATAAAGTTCGTGGAACAAGCGATACTCTTTTTTGTGGGCAAAAACAGTCATGATTACACAAACGTTTGTAGATGTTATTTATCCAATTAAATTATATCACGTGAATTTATAGAAAAAAAAATCTTTTTAAAAAAAAAAAATTTTTTCAATTAAAAAATAATAATGAAATTCTCTAAAGGTTTTTGGTTTTTTTATTTTATGAAATCTATTGATTATGAAAGGATACCACCAATCTAACCAAATTGATGATCAATATATTTTACTTTGTTGTTATTAACTTTTTTTTTTTTGATGATGTGATTTTTTAGACGTTAGTTCTTCTAGACGTAAAAGTCGAAAAGCTCATTTTACAGCTCATTCAGCACTTCGTAGAAAAATTATGAGTGCATCTTTATCAAAAGAGCTTAGAGAGAAACACAATGTAAAAAAATCTAATTAATTGCTTGATTTATTGATTTATTGTTGATAATTTTTTATTTGATATATGCACACACATAATCAAAATTATATTTATTCATGCATATATATATATATATGTGATTATTCATTATGTAGGCTAGATCAATACCAATTCGTAAAGATGATGAAGTTAGAATAGTAAGAGGCACCAATAAAGGTCGTGATGGTAAAGTGACTCAAGTGTATCGTAAAAGATGGGTGATCCATATTGAACGTCTCAGCAGAGAAAAGGCAAATGGTAATACTGTTCAAATTGGTGTTCATCCATCAAATGTGGTCATAACCAAATTGAAAATTGATAAAGATCGTAAAGGATTATTAGGAAGGAAAAATAGAGATAAAGAAGGTGCAAGTAAAGGAAAAGAGAAGATGGACGAGTCCGAAGATTAGAAAAAATCATATTGTGATATTATAAATAAATGTTCAAGTAAATTATTTGATGATTGCTTTTATTTATTTTTTGTATTAAAAAAAAGAGTCAAATAATATTAAATCTATCATTTTTATCATCAACTTTACATGAATTAAAATTTAAATATTTTACTTGATTAATGAATGATGACAAAAAAAAAATTTTTCTAATAATTTTTAAATTCGTTAATAAGAATTAGTTGTTACTTTAGATATACCAAAAAAATTTATATTAATATTCATAGGAATATAAAAGAATAATGTTCCATTTAAAACAAAGTAATCAATCTTTTTGATTTTCTAGCACACTTGAATCTTCACTATTAATTCTCTCATGTTGTCAGTCTACATAATTAATTAAGGAATCAAAATCATTGTTAGGAATTATGAACTTTGTATTAAGGATACAGATTTGGAGGTGGTACCATTACCGCCAGTGTTAATTAATTTGTCTAAAAGTGTTCACAATCAAATTTAAAAATCTAATCGTGAGTCCAGGAATATGCAGTCTCGGTTTTAGCCAAAGTCTGTTATACCGATATTTAACTAGTACTAGTAGATCCGTTATATCGAGAGAATTATCCGCTAAATCGCTAAATCAAGGTCTGCTAAATCAATGAAGAAATTTAAAAATGGAGAAATAATTTTTGTTGTAAATTTAATTTCCATATTTAGTATATTCTCTGACTGCACTATGTGATTAACATTTTCGGTTAGATTTATTAGATAAAGTTAGGGTTGTTAAATGGAGCACTCCATCATGGAGTGGGTTAAGATTTCTAATTTTTGTATTAGTACATTTAACCCGGGTTGGGTTAGGTTAACCTTGCTCCACTATAATATAAACCCAACCCAACCCAACCCAACCCAACCCATTATGTTCTATTAACAACCCTAGATAGAGTATATAAACAACTTTCTCCAAAAAATAAACCAGAGTTAGATCCAGAACATGAATCCAAATTTAAAAAACAATCAATTAATGAGTCATGTGATTGTGCAACCGATACTCTTTTTAAATATAAAAATTGCAATGATTTAACTCGTGTAGGGATTTTTATGAAAGATTGTATTGATTCAGCTGTAGATAAAGGTGCAGATGTTAAAGTATTGGTAAGTCAATTAACATGATAGTTGTTTTTTTTTCACGTAACTGTAACTTATAAAATTTGCTATTTATTTTGTAGAATTCAAAATCGATTTTTACATAATGGAACTTAGTTCCAAAGGATTATATTTCATGTACAATGTTGGACAAGTTTTGATTCCTGCTTCAGTAAAGGAAATATCACATCTCATCAATGACTTAGAAACTTTGCTTATGGTGTGCGAAATTTTTGAAAAATCATTTGTTGATTTTTTTGACAAGTTATGCAATCCAAAACAAGGAACTGAAAAAGCATCGTTTAAATGTGAAACTTTATCTACACCAAGTTTTAATATGCTTGTAAATCACTCGCGTAATGTCAACAGAAAGTGTCCTTTTTGGTTTGGAAGATTTTAATATTGTTTAACTATTACTTGTTATTATAATTTATCAAATTTTCATTATCCCTTTCCTTCACAACTACATATCTTTTTGGTTTGGAAGATTTTAATATTGTTTAACTATTACTTGTTATTATAATTTATCAAATTTTCATTATCCCTTTCCTTCACAACTACATATAATTTCAAATCGTCATTATCTCTTTCCTCCATATTCACAACTATGTATTCACCATTGTTGTCTTATCCTCCTCCTTGTCATCAATTTTTTTTTCTTTTTTATAGTTTTCTTTTGCTAAAAAAAAATTATATTATCATCACAATTATATATTACTAAAATATTAAATAATATTTATTTATGTTGTTTTATGTATCGAATATAAATATCATCAAAAATTTGTTGTCATTATAGATTGTGTATAATAATATTAAAATTAAATACAATTAAAATGTTTAAAATTTAAATACTCACAATATATTTCTTTTTAAAAGTATTGATTTTATAATATATATTTAAGAACAAACAAAGCAAATAAATTTATTATGATTTTTATATTATATTATACACTAATTATAAAATATTATATAATATTTTGTATTTATATATATTCTAAGTAGATCGTTCTTCTTGTTCCGCAACTTGCATCATTTCAAGAAATGGATTCATTCGCTCCACAACTTCGTTTTGAACCAATTTGATGTCTTTTGAAGGATCTAGATAATTTAATGTAACTGTCATTCCAAATGCAATGGAATTTTTTTCTGTATTTGGATCAGTAAATGCACAATCAACAATTTTCCTAAATAGTAAAAGTATATACTGTATATTGTAAAAAGTTACATGAATAAAAGTTTGTGGATGAGGTTTAGTTGCTTTTGCTTTTGATAATTTTTTGAATTTGTTCTGGAGAAAATCTTTTACCCATGTTAAATAAAGATCTAGCATATTGACCTTCTGACAACCATTGGATATATCAGCTATTGTATTTATTTTCCCTTATTAACCCAATAAAAATAATTTATTGAAATAATTTTATTAATAAATAATTTCTATAGACGATTTGAAAAGGGACAAAATTTTCTAAAAAATAATTACCATTTTGCAAGGTTTTTTTTCATACGGGTAATGAATGCTATACAAAGTTGGATAACCTGTTATTCTGCAACATGCAAGACTGAATTAATAACAATGAATAATTCGTAATAAGTTTTTTTTTGAATTTAAAATAATAAAATTCATTATTTATTCATAAATATAGTTGAGAATTACTATTAAAACTGGCTACATTTTTTTTTGTAATGTTGCAACTCCATTAATTTTTTCATAAAATTCATATATGTATTTTACGTGGAATCCACAGCGGCCCAAAACCAAGTTCCTATCTACAAAGCTGCATGATTTCGTGTGACTTTGCATAACGAAAGTACAAAATTTCATAATATGCAACTTTTGTCACTTTTTAAATTTTAGCGAGTTTCTATTACTATCGTTGATCAGCGGAAATTAACGTTTTTTACAATTATTTTGTATCTTTTTGATTTATGAAAGCAAATTTCAAATTTCAAATTTATATTCATGTCTACAACGGAATTTCGTTTAAAGAGATAATTAATCAACATTAATATTAAGCTTTTTTTTTTATTTACCTCTTTTAAAATGTATAAAATTTTATCACGAGAATTATATAATCTTTTTAATACAACACCCATTTTTTTACCAGAGTGATGACCAAACTATACATGAAGCCGAAATTGAAATCCAAACTACAAAAGTCGAAATATTTCGACCTGGCACCATTATTTAGTGGTGATCAATGATAGAAATTTACCCGGGAGATCGCCATATTAATCCAGAGCTCTTCTCTTCCAACATAAACTTTCTTAAAAAGGAGATAAATTTCTATTGTCCACCCAATCCAAGGATCTACATTCTCAAAACATGAAGGTTCAACCTTTTAAACAGGGGTGTCTGGGTAGTTGGTGGTTATGTGTAACCCAATTTTAATTAGTAGATTGGGTTATGGTTTATCAGTAAGAGGTTTAACCTTAGGATCGACGTCTCAAATAGTAATAGTAAGGTTAACCTTTGTTGTAGGTCCTTGGGATTGGTTGATATTGTTCCTCCCTACATACATGCATATCGATTAATTTGCAAAAACTTTTCACGTCATTTTAAAAAGGTAACTAATAAGTTTTATTATTCATGACTCTAGCTTCAAAACCTATCAGCCAATTTTTCTTAAACTGAAAATTGGCTGAGCCTTAGCATTTTGAAAATTACATTATTGTTATACATTTGAAAAAACCGAGACCAAGAAAATTTTGTGTATTTATAAAATATTTCTTTAAAACATAATTGATTTATTTGTACTTTTTTTTATTAATAAAAGTTTTTATAAAAAAAAAAGCTTAACGAACATATGGGACATACTGCAACAAAATCAGACAAAATGAACATTAGCTATAACTTTAGACTTGAGACAAATTTGCAATTTCAATGGTAACCTTTTTTTTTGGTGTTCTTTATGCAGATCCTGGATAGGTGACTATATACAAAGATTAAAGATCAGCAGCTATTACTCGCAATGTTAACATTCTTGCAGTTGATTTGGTATAGATACATATAGATACAGCAACTTCTTCTGAAATATCAAATTCCATTATTAAGAAAACTGGACGCTCCAATTAGCAAACGTACCTTGGCAGTTGTTCCTATAAAAATGACAAACAAACTGATTAAAAACCTTCGTTGCATCAAAACACGGCAATGTATATAAAGAATTGGAATCGTTGAGATCTCATCTACAGTCTACAATTACTTGTGTAATTTGTAAGGACTTTCATTTTTTTCTTGATGTTTCAATATACTGTATATAAATTCAAATCTTCAATACTTTACTAGCTATTACTTTTACCACTGTTGTAAAAGAATAACAAGCAAAACAAACCATCTAAAGACGTAATTGATGAAAATAGCATTATATAATTAGAATACACAGTCTTAAAAGACAATCCTTTAATAAGGATGTGCGATCATCAAAAAACAGTGCAATGATATTACTATTGTACATCATTTCTGTAACCCAATTTCAGGATTCCATTATTATTATCTTTAAGCAAGAAATATCTGTGTACACAGAAAATATTAGAAAACAATATATTATTCATCTTGGATGATTGAAACTTTTTTAAGTTTCATATCTGTTTAGTTCTTTTTCACATGCAGTTAATTGTGTCCATTAGAATTTTCATTAATAACAAATTTTGAATGATTATTAAAATAATCTTGGTAATCTATATCTGATATAACAGATACAGCTGGGATATGTATGGACTTCTTTCTAAGTTTATATCAGACTTTTTCTTGAAGTAAAAAAGGTAATTGATTACTTGAAAGAAAACAAACAAAAACTTGTTTTATAAATTGAATAATAGCATCGTATATATATATATTTTTTAATGAAATCATTTACAATAGAAAAAGAACTAAAAAAAAAACAAAATAAAAAAAAAAATAGATTACAATATAGATGGAATTTGTTTACTCAACACAAAAACTTTATCATCATCTCTCAATATTACATTATATCTGGGACAAGTATATACATATTTAGAATATTTGGTTTTACCATTTGGTGTTATAAATTTATTGGTACGATATAGACCCAAAGGAATAGCTCTTTTCTCGCCCAATAAGAAATGAAACATTGATCCATATTGTGAACCTATAAATCTTACGGGGACAGGAATTTGAAAAATGTGTGAATGAGCAGGCGCAGAACAAGTTGTACCTGAAGAAAGTTGAAGTGGAGGAGCTCCAAAAAGTAATTGGTTAATGATAGCAACTAGATGTGGTTGATAGAATGATTGACATATTATGCTATCCAACATGGATAAAGAAAAACAAGTTCCTGCCATGAAAGCTGGTGAATTATGTGCTATTTAAATAAATAAATAAATATATATAATTTAGCATATGTATATCTTGGCATATTAAAAAAAAAAAAAAAAATAATAGATAATTAATTACCATTAATATTCTTATCAATGACTGCTGACGTGTCTTCTGAAACGAACTTCATGTTGTTCGTATGTACAAACTCTACAATCACATCGATGTCTTCCTCGATAGACATTGCCTTAATGTTCAAGTAAACCAACATTGCTGGTGCGTCTTCAGTCTTTTCTCCATCTCTTGATAATTTAATTTTTGAGTAAAAGAATTAGATCAAAAGTTTTTTTTTAAAAAAAATCATTATATATATATATATATATATTACTTTAAAATTTTAGTAGAATCGGTTAATATAACCTGATATTTAATAACAATATAAATTATGATTAAAGAAAATTATTTTTGTTAATAATTGTTGTTAGCTTTAAAAGATTTTTTAACAAATTAAAATTATTAACTACACTCACAGCTTTTTTTGCAAATCTAACTCTGCCAAGTTCAAGACCTTCTCGTGTCATTGGATTTCCTTGAACAAAATATACTTGATCAAATTGACTTAAAATTTTCCATTGACTTGTTGTAGGTCTTGTTGGTGAAAGAATCACAATTGGTTTAAACTTATCCAAATGTGATTTACGTAATGGGCTAACAAAACAATCCAAATTACGTGGAAAAGTTGCAGTTGAATAATCACACAAGAGGATATGTTCATTGATTGTATCCAATATTGAATTTATGTGTTCGCTATCAAGAGCATTTGATGAGGAGGAAGAGGGATCTATAGTGTGATGATGGTGCTGCTTGTAATGTTGTTTATGATCAAAGTCTGATGCAAAAGCAAGAGGGGTAGAAAGCGCGCGTTGATGACGTGTAATAGTATCTGGTTTGTAAGGATATTCGTGATGGGTTTTATCAGGGCTTGTAGGACGGCCCGATTTTTTCTTTATATCATAATATGAGCCACCGTTATTATTTTTCAACGTGTCGGATGACAATAATGGTTGTCTTTCTGAAGGAATTTGTTGTGGCTCAGAAGATATATTCTCATTGTTTCGAACATGCAAATTATGCCATTCATAATTGGAAACACCTTCAGCCAGCGCACCATCACAAGCAATTATAAATCCAACTTCGTCACCTTTTACAATATAATTTCCAGGATTAATTAAAACCATATAGTTCTTGGCATCTCCGTCACAATCGCCCTCTTCATGTGATGTATTATTTGATGATCCAATTGGAAAATGTTGTTGAGGAATACCAATAGCAAATAGTACAACACCTAAACTTTCGTACAAACGACCTACACATTCATTCGTTCATGGGTATAATAAATTAACTGCTATTTTTTTAATGGAAAATTTTAATGAAAAATTTACAATCTACTAACCAACAACAGCATGAAATGTAGAACCTGCAAAATAATTTGATAGGGTTGTGGTGTAGATAGATTGAGAGATGCCTTCGATATAATCTTCAATATAGTCATTTTCCAAACCAGATGATGACTCTTTTTTAATATTTCTCAATTCGTGAGTTGATTCATAAGTGAACGTAGTTGTAAGACCATATAAAAGTGTTGAAAATCCAGGAGTTAAGCATGAGTGAGCAAGTATGGCAAGTTTTAACTCATCTATACATAATATTAATTCAGGATCTAAAACAAACAATATTCATTTATTTATTTAATTAAATATTTTAATTAAATATTTTTATAGGAAAAAAATAATTTTTGTAACATACTTAAACTTTCAAAATGAATTTTATTTTCTGGAAGAATACATTGAATGTAAAGTTTAGGACCTTCATCGTATTTACTTAATGCCTATTATTTCAATTAGATTATTATATTGAATTACTTTTTTTATTTTTTTTATTTTAAAAAAGAAAAAGTGATTTATTTACCATTGCTTTTAAAACATTTTCTGCATCAATAGTATCGCTTTGTTGTGTAAATTTTTTGGCTAAAATAAAATACGCAGAGGCTTTTTTTGCATTTACTTTTTTTAAGCTACGCGACTCGAGTGAACTACCCCTAATGTATTGTACACGATGTGCATATAAAGGATCTGATAAAAATGACTTTACACGGTCATTTGGTTGTGCAGGATTTAAAATTACTACCTATAATTTAAAAAAATAATATAAAATAAAAAAATTATAAATAAAAAAAAATATTATTATTATTTAAAGTTTTGCATGGAATTTTTAAATATCTTTGATGCAATACTTTTGTATTAACGGTTGCAAGACCATGCGCTAATGAATAAAATTCCTTTAAAAAATGTTTTAATGAGGGTAATTCTATAGTTGGAGCAATGATGATGACATGAGGTTGTTGTGATATTTTTCTGAATGGTCTATCATAAATAGATTTTGAGCGTATTAGAATAATCAATTCAGATATAGAATACTAGATGAGTAATTAATAAATGATTAATTAATGAATTAATTCATGTGTAATTGTTTTATTTTTTTTTATTTTTTATTTTTTTTTAAGAAAATTAATTTGATTAATTACCGGAATAAATATAAGACCAGTTGTAAATATCACCAAAAGAAGAACTCTAGGGAAAGCATTATCAGGTACTATGTCACTAAGATAACCAACAGTTCCCAACATAATAGTTGTGAAGAAAACAGCTATTTACCAATAAAGTTATCAAGTTAATACAATTTTTAAATAACCTATGGAAAAATTATACATCAATAAACTATTACCATCCAAGAATGTAATATTATCTGCACCCTACATATATAAATATATATGATAAATATATCAATAGATAAATAGATAGACAGATATATATATATTAGATATTTTGCTTACCATGTATGCATATTCAACACCATGTAACAAAGTTGATCCAGTTAATACAAGAAAAATGATGGATGTCAAAAAGATTAATACCCTACTGGTAACTTGACCAATTTTGATGATAGATTTCTCGCTTCTAACTAAACAATCATATACAGATAAATAGCATCGAATAAATCGAAAAGGATAAAAAAATACAATGTAGCGAGTTTCTTGGAATACGGGATCATGAGCAGTGGCAGCACAAGGAAAGACTGTCAAGATTGTTAGGAGTGGAATAGGGCTAGTGAAAAATGACTTCCATGATTCAAATTCATAAATGTAAAATTTTGGAACATATTCTATTATCAACAGCAATGATACTATTACTTCCAAGCACACATTCACCAGCGGCAAAGATTTCATCATATGACCAGTATGTGCTATATAAATAATACATAATAAAATGTTGAGAAAAGCATCCACTATTTTCCAGATACTACCGATAGCAGTATTATCAAGCTCAACAGCCAATTTTTCACGCCATGAAGGTTGATAAAGAGCATGATAATGTGGCTGTTTTAAAGTGAAATTATCAGAAGAAACTGACATTAAAGAAGGAGTCCTACTTAATCCTTCTAATGATTTTTTAGAAGGAAGAATGAAGCTGACATGGTTTGTTTCTTCAATTTGTTCTGGAGTTGTTGCAAGTTTTTCCATATTTATGATCAACAAAATTAGAACAAATTAATAATTGAAATATGAAATAATTGAAATTATACATTTCTTCAAATATTTGGGCGGGTGTAACAAATTGATTATTTCGGGAATAAACAATATAAACATTAAAATATTCAGCAAGTAAATCCCGTTTTGTAAATAAATGATTTTCTATCCAACTCCATATTTAGTATATATTACTACATTACTACATAATACATATTGAAATTTTCTTGGTATTTTGATGTATATCGAGTCACAACCGCAACTATTGAAAAATTGAATTGAGCCATCATCTTTAAAAAAATCCGGGCTTATTTTGAAATTGTGTCAAAGTATTAATCCATTATCTGTGTAAAAAAAAAGGACTATTTTCTTCGTCAACAAGAACAGGATTTAAATAATAACAAGTAGAAAATTTTTTATCCACATCACGAAAAAATTGGAGAAAATAGACGAATTGGAATATATTATTGGCCTGAAGCCTTTGATAATTATAACAATAAAATTATCGTTATCATAGCATAGAATTCAACCATATAGAAGAATTCAATTCAATTATAATTTAATTACAAGTTGAAGACATTTATTTACTTACCTCCACCAGTTTGTTTATGAATAATCTATACAATCACAAACACTAAAAATTAATATAATACCAATCACGAATAATAAATAATTTATTTGATTTATTATATTCAAATTCTATGTGCAAACAATCCTCAATATCAACTTCCATTTTATAGAACTGTTGTTGTCTGATGGTATACGATATGAATAAACCCGTATATCTTTTCCGTTTACAATATCTATTAAACGTCTTGATGCTTATTTCGTGATAACTTTCATTGGTTTTTTAATATAGACTATTATTCTTTTTAGTAAATCATAATCAAATTTTGATTCCTTGATGTTCAAGCTTTTTACCATCATCACTCGTGGTCTAATTGTAAAGTAAATGATATAAAACTAATTTAGCTAATTAAAGGTAAATTAATAAATTAATTAATTCCCACTATTTACTTTACCAGCCAAACTTTTCACTTCCATTGAAACAAATATATATATCAACAGGCGCATTAAAATTAAACAAACTCTAGAAAGGATAAATTGTTTATTCTGTCGTGAAATAATGACTCTTATTTCAATATATTCAACTTTAAATTATCTATCTCTTGTTTTACTTGTCTTCACAAAAAAAAAAAACAACGAAAAAAAGTATTTTGATGCTTTAATTTCTTTGATAGATCCATCATTATATACTAAAACATTTCAAGAAGAACTAGACATTCACCATCATCATCTTCAACACCTTTGGCATTTCCTTCTTCTCTTTGTTAAAAATACCCAGACCATAAATCCATTTGTAATTTATCCTTGGAATTTACAAGCAAGGTTAATAGGTCCAGAACATAAACCTAAACATGATTATGCTTCAAAATTCGCGTCCAATGAATGATGTAGGAATTTCTATTGCAGAAATTAGACACATTTACAATTATTTGGCTCATTGACATGAACATAACCATCCTAATTATGTTTATCGATCAAAAAGAAATATAAAGTCGTCGTCGTCATCATCATCATCATCATCATCATCATCATCATCATCATCATCATCGACAACAGCTGTTGGCACAACTTTTATATTTACTCGTCTACCCCAATATTATCACCATTTCTACTGGCATCTCCTTTAATTTCGTCTCCTTATGAAATACGCTTGGTAAATTTTCACTATAATTTTAATATTTTATTTATTTATAACTTGGGAATTGTTGGTTGTGGTTATGCTATAATAATCATTATCTATTCTTGCTGAAGCATTGTGAGAGTGAAAATGCAATTCGCATGTTGATACGTGAAGACTAAACTCCTCCATATTTAATTATAGATTTCAATTTCTAACTGATAACGATAACACTAAATAATTTAATACGCAGACGATATTTGCCAAACAAGTTATTATCGGAGAATTTTCATTATGACGATCTTGTAATATTTTCACTTTAAACTAATTAATATTAATATTAATGAATTTTTTTACAAAGACTCGGAATGAGTTTTTACTTGGGGAGTTGCCTTCAACAATATCTTATTTATTATTTGGTACACGAAATTTAGGATATGATTTCTTAATAAATATTTTGAAAGCTTCTCTCTGAAGCATATTAAAAGGTAAAGAATCTAGTACGATTTATTCAATGCTGGCAAGATGCAAGTCTTTCATTTTTTATTGTGGATGTTCTTGAACTTTTTCAAACACATCGGATAATAAATAAATAAATGTATGCGTGTAATGTATAATAAATAATAATGTAAATATATATAGATGTTCTTCCGGATTTAATTACGATGCTAAACGATGATTTAATGTTGAAGTTGAAGTGGTATCTGAATTAGCGTATTTTTGCGGTCCCACAAAATGTTGATTCGTTATACAAATTAAATTATGTTTCTTTAGTAGTTAGCTTGTTGAATGTTTTTATATCAAAAAATTATCAATAATTAAACCGTAAATAGTAAATGTGTAATAAAATTATTATTATTATGTTATTATAACTGGTTAAAAAAACCCCGGGTTCTATTTTGTATTTAAAAAAATTTTCCTTCAAAAAATGGATAAAACCAAAAAAAAAGATGAATATTCAAAAGAAAGAAAAAAAAGATATGGAGAGTGTCCAATTTGCGATAGATATAATACTGATTATTCATGGTGTAAATCATGTGATCCAAAGCTATTAACTGAAGGATGGACTAGTGGTAATGAAACACTAGATGAGTTGATTAAAAGCACACAACTTAAAGCAAGAGCTTATAATAATGATTATTTTCAATGGATTCCATATAATGATTTAGCAGATATTGACAAGATAGATAGAGGTGGTTTTGCGACTGTATACAAAGCTACTTGGTTAAATGGTGATAAAGGTATAAGTGGTAAAAAAAGATATAATAAAGATATGACAGTGGCGTTAAAAAAAATATATGGTTCACAGAATGTTTCTGATAAATTTCTTAATGAGGTAAATTATTTTATTAATATTAATTTTGATTATTATTATTATTGTAATTAAATATTTTATTTGTTATTTTAGTTCAAAAATTATATGAAGCTTCATTATAAAAGTGATGTAATTAATCTTTATGGATTAACACAAGATCCAATTACAAAAGAATATATATTTGTAATGGAATATATGGAAAATGGAAGTCTTCATAATTATTTAACCAAAGAATTTAAAAATTTAAAATGGAAACATAAAATTGTAATTCTTCAAGGAATTATTAAAGGTTTAAAAGGTATGCATGAAAAAGGAATTGTTCATCGTGATCTTCATAGTAATAATATTCTTCAAGGAAGTATGAGTTCATATATTGCAGACTTAGGGTTATCATGTTCTAGCCAAACTGCTGCATCAAACAAAAATGATGGATTTGGAGTACTACCATATGTTGCACCAGAAGTTTTAAAGAAGGAACCATATATAATGGCATCAGATGTATACAGCTTTGGAGTTCTGATGTCTGTAGTATCAACTGGTCAACAACCATTTAATAATTTGGCATATAATGTAAACCTTGCAATAAAAATATTTGAAGGTGTAAGACCTGAATTCCCAAACAACACACCAAAATTCTATATTGAACTAGCTTACAGATGCATGGATGCTAATCCAGATAAACGCCCAACTGCTGAAGAAATTTTTAACATTATTGGATTATGGAATAATTCATTTGATGATGAGGTAATCAATAACCTTAAACACCATAAATACTCAAATGAACAGCATGATGAATTAAAATCGATTAGGGAGGAATTTGATAAAATGGATGATACACATCCATACACAGTGAATCTTAATCCTGTGCACATTCTTCATTCAGAAGATATTCTTGCATTAACTATACTAGATATACCAGATGATTGACATTTTATTATGTATTAAAATTATTTATTATTTTATTTTATTTATTTGGCTGCTATATAAATCATAGTTAATTAGTTATTTATATTTAATAGTGATATTATATAAAAGTAATAACTTCTCATAATTATCACATCTTTGGAATTTTTTTTATTTTGAAATTATAATTTTGTGTGATTTTTGGGCTACTATATATTTAATATTAAAAATAGTGGTTTATGACAAAATATTTATTTATATTAATATATGTAAATATATTGAGATATTAAGGTAAGAAAAGAGTAAAGACTATATATAATTGATTAGTGTTAGATGCAAAGGTTATCTATATAAAACTTCATATTTATTAATGCTAACCCAAACAAATGACTTGAATGGGCAAAAATGGAGGCCCTGGCGCAAAACGCATATGCGTCGTCATTGAAGTTTATTAATGCTCATCATTTGAGAGAGGCATAATTCTAGCGTCATTCAGACCTTTTTCTGGTGCCTAGTCATCAAACGACGACTGATTCATGTATACCTCGTCATTTTCGTTTGAGATACGTATAGTAGTCCTCGAAGTTCACGGAAATAAGCAAACAAAACGTATTAGTATGTTTTTTGAGACCAAAATCCGAAGCAAAGCGGAGGATTGCGAGTCATTTCCATGTATACTAAACATCTTTTGCTAATTACGTGAGCTGTCTGAGGCAAAGATATCCCGAGTACATATGTCATAAATCAGACCCATCGAAAAATTTTGGTACCATTGGCAGAAGAAAGCGCAGAATTTTGGTACCCTTTGCTCAAGATGTAGGCCGAAATTTGGTACCAATACATCAGGAGACAAGCTGAATTTTAGAAAAGAGCCAACTTTGGTGTAAAAACATCTGGTATTTTTTTTTCAGGCGGCCCGAATTTTTAGGAGTCAGCACATAGGCGGAGACGACTATTGTAATTATTCCACTTCATGACATACCTGCTCCCAACATGAAGCTATGGATTGAAGTAGTAGGTTTACCACAAAAAGCACAAGGAGTGCGTTTTTTAGTCATCCCGGAACCCCTCAGGGTGCATACAAGATTTAGA